TTGCAAATGTACCTTGAATCCCATTTTAGGAGAAAGGTTGGATATCAACTCAATGAATAAATGAATACAATTGTAAATAAGTGTGTGGGTGCACCTTGCTTTGCAGTCCAAGTGAGAGCTGGAAATGTCAGTCCTTTCTTTAACCTACTTTTAGGGCATCCTTCCACCTTCCAAACTTTATTTCCGAGTATTTCCTTTCAGGCTCGAAGATATTAACCTGCAGGCAGAGCCCTCTCAACCACCCAATATGCGAGGGCTTTCCTAGCAGGGAAAGCCAAGCATGACACAGTTTGAATGTAACCTAATGTCACTGCATATGAGGTCACAACAGATGTGAATCCCTTGAGTTTTCTATTTATAAATGTGGCTTTCATTTCTCGTTACATGCACCTGTATTTACAGAGTGGCCTCCTTTTCCTCACTGATTGACAAAGGTGTGATGTTCCTTCATCAGAGACGGTAGGCTTTTTATTATTTTTTTTTTAAAAAAGCTTCCATTTTGGTGCACTGCAGTGCAGACTTTGGTTTAACTGGCTGAATTGATATTCTGAGCAGCAAGTAAGCAAGGATGACAGAGCATCCGTACCGCTACTCCTATTAGTGTTCAGGGAGGTGTGCTTGCTTGCAATTGCCGGCGCCGTCCAAGACGCAGCCCAGTCACGAAGCACTGCTGTCACCAGACTCTCCAAAAGCTTTCGCCCTGGATTATAGTAATATTTCACACGCTTAAAGGCACAGGCTTCCCCCACTTCTCTCTCTCTCTCTCAGAATCTGCATGCATTATTGCTTCTCTACCCCAGAAACCCAAGACTGCCAGGAAGTATAAAAGTATCTGATTTTTTAAATAATATGCCAATGTCAGCAATTTTAGGATGTGCCTATGACATCAGTCCCTGAAAACCGAAACATGTGTATACTTTTCTATCATGCTGTATGGCTAAGGAGAAAAAATGCTACTTCATGATTCATTCATTTTGCCCCAGTTAAGCTCTAGAGGTCTGGTCATGTCAGATATCTGTTGAAACATCTTCATGAAACAAGTGGATAAAAGTATTATCCAGCAAGAGAAAGACCTGCTCTGAGTCCCCTCGGGGAGAGAAGGTGGTCTATAAATGAATTATTATTATTATTATAATTATTACTATTTATCTCTACTAATATCTGCAGGTTTTGAAAAAAGGATATCACATTTTCCCCTCTCCCTGAATCCTCAAAAAGGACTATGTCTCACATAAAGTAAAATAAAAATGAGTCCTGTACATAAAAACTAGGGCTCCGTTTTCTTTTGCTGGGTATGATAACCTGGTAGTCTGAATCTTCCAGCTACCTTCTTTCATTTCATAGAGTCATAGAGTTGGAAGAGACCTCATGGGCCATCCAGTCCAACCCCCAGCCGTCTGAGAGAATATGAACTGGCCCTCTGCCTAAAACGTTTGAGGACCCCTGGTTTAGATCATTTAATGTTGGTTAGACAACACCTGGAATATTGTGTCCAGTTCTGGGCACCACAATTGAGGAGAGATATTGATAAGCTGGACTGTATCCAGAGGAGGGCGAATAAAATGATCAAGGGTCTGGAGAGCAAGCCCTATGAGGAGTGGCTTAAAAATCGGGGCATGTTTAGCCTGCAGAAGAGAAGGCTGAGAGGAGACATGATAGCCATGTATAAATATGTGAGGGAAAGTCATAGGGAGGAGGGAGCAAGCTTGTTTTCTGCTGCCGTGAAGACGTGGAACAATGGCTTCAAACTGCAGGAAAGGAGATTCCACCTGAACTCTAGGAAGAATTTCCTAACTGTGAGAGCTGTTCAGCAGTGGAACTCTTGGTGTGGTGGAGGCTCCTTCTTTTGAGGCTTTTAAACAGAGGCTGGGTGACCATCTGTTGGGGGTGCTTTGAATGTGATTTCCCTGCTTCTTGGCAGGGGGTTGGACTGGATGGCCCATGAGCTCTCTTCCAACTCTATGATTCTACGCATTTAGATCATTTTAGTTTAATTTATGGGGAGGATTGCCAGACTACTAACTGGAGCGAATTACAGGGAGAGGTCAACCCCCCTGTTTAAGAAGTTCCACTGGCTGCCGTTCATTTTCTGGTTCCAATTCAAGGTGCAGGTTCTTACCTACAAAGCCTTGAATGGTTTGGGACCTGCCTACCTGTGTGATCGCATTTCTGTCTACAAACTCACGTGATCTCTTCGATCGTCCCAAGAGGCCCTGCTCTTGCTCCCACCCCCTTCGCAGGTGCGATTGGTGGGGATGAGGGAGAGGGCCTTTTCTGTGGTGGCCCCTCAACTCTGGAACTTGTTCCCCAAGGATATTAGGCAAGCCCCCACATTGGCAGTCTTTAGGAGGAGCTTAAAAATGGTTGTTCCATTGTGCCTTCCCTGAATAAAAGAACATTAATTCACTGTTCTGACCAATTATCTGCAAAATGTCCTCTGAAGCACTTTATTCTACTTGTTGAGGCACTCAACCCTACTTTACTCTAAAAACCCCTGTTTAGATTCATTTTACTGCTGTTCACACCCAGTGTTTTAAATTTTTAATCTATTAGATTTGGCCCTGCCCACAGTGTTGGATCCTTGTGTTCTTAAATGTTTTGTTTTATTGCTGATATGTTATTTATAATGATTTTGTATTGTATTTTTTTCCCTTTATTTTGTTCCTGCGTTGATTTAGTGATGTATTGTATTATTTATTCATTTAAGGCATTTATATGCCGCCATCTCACCCCGAAAGGGACTCAGAGCAGCTTACAAGATATATTTTCATACTATATATTATATTATTAGCATAGTACAATATCAGTATTATATATTACTATATTGCACTATACCATTATATTGTAATATTATTAGTAATATTACATGTGATGTAAATATATAATTATAATTATAATATTGTATTAATATTACTAGTATTAAATTGTATTAATTCTTTGCCACATGAAAGGAGGATGATGAATGGGATTGTGATGGTGTTGGACGATTTGGCTCTTTTAACTGTGATGATAATGTTTTAATGTGTATGGTGCTGATATTTTAATCGTGTAATGAAGTGGCATTGTGTTGTTATTGTATATTCTTTGTATGTTAACACATGTTGTGAACCGGTCCGAATCCCTCTTTGAAGAGAGGGTCGGTATATAAAACCTCGAAATAAATAAATAAATAAATAAAATAATAAATAAATAAATATAACATTATAACATTATAAATATTATATGTATATACAATATACTATATTATTTATTATAGTATTATATATTATATATTATATAATAATAATAATAATAATAATAATAAAACTTTATTTGTACCCTGCTACCATCTCCCCAAGGGACTCGGTGCGGCTTACATGAAGCCAAGCCCACAGCACATCAATGAACAAAAGTGATAATAAATAATCAATACAGAACAGTTAAAATAAAACTCAAAAACAAAAAATACACAATAAGCAATAAACAATAACAATAACATACAGCATTTAAAAACCTATGGCCGGGCCAAATGTAATAGTTAAAATTTAAAATGCTGGGCATGAATAAGGTAGGGTAAACTAGGATAGGGTTTTTAAGGAAAGATGAGAGCACGCAGACAACCCTAAATCAATATTAAAGTGCATTTGAGGACATATTGCTAAGAGTTTTCTTTATTCTGGGAAGGCACACTGGAACAACCACGTTTTCAGACTCCTCCTAAAGACTGCCAATGTTGGGGCATGTCTGATGTCCTTAGGGAGTGAATTCCAGAGTCGAGGGGCCACTACCAAGAAGGCCCTCTCCCTTGTCCCCACCAATCGCGCCTGTGAAGGAGGTGGGAGCACGAGAAAGGCCTCTCCAGATGACTGAAGAGATCTTGTGGGTTGGTACACGGAAATGCGGTCATGCAGGTAGGCGGGTCCCAAACTGTTCAGGGCTTTGTAGGTAAGAACCTGCACCTTGAATTGGGACCAGAAAATGAATGGCAGCCAGTGGAGCTCCTTAAACAGGAGGGTTGACTGCTTCCTGTAAGAGGCACTGGTTAGTAACCTGGCTGCAGCCCGTTGTACCATAGTATTGTTGGACTTGGCCCGACAATATTATAGTATTGTCGGGCTTGGCCCGAGTCCCCTTGGGGAGATGGTGGCGGGGTATAAGTAAAGTTATTATTATTTGAAACACAACAAGATGAGTCCACAGCAGACACTCTACTGGCTGTTGAATTGGATTACACGTCGGACACTTCCCAAGTGTCTAGGACTGTGTGATGTATCAGCAAATAATGCGTGCAGATCCCAGTAAGGTAGCCTTCTGCAGCTGGCAGATGGTAATTTTGTCAGCGCCGATTGTGTTTAAGTGCAGGCCAAGGTCTTTAGGCACTGCACCCAGTGTGCCAATCACCACTGGGACCACCTTGTGCCAGAGTCTTTGTAGTTCGATGATTGTGATTATGATTATGATTATTATGACAATAGTATACCCATACCCAACTTATTTCTATTTAGTTCTAAAACATTACTTTTGGAGGGGAAACTCTTTTTAGTCGAAGGAAGTTGGCACTGAAATGCAAACACTGGGTACACCTTCTGAGCCCCAAACACAGCAGCAGCAGGAGCAGAGCAGGCTGACACCCAGCCTCTTTGCATCTTTGTGGCAGCTCTCCCTTCTGGAGAGAGGATGCGGAGCTGGGCACCGGCGGTGTCTCCCTCTCGCACACGCGCGCCTTCCTCCTCTCCCTTTCTCTCCTTCCCTCTTTCTCCCCTCATCCCTCCCTCCCTCCCTCCCCCCTTCCCTGCCCCCCCTGATCGTGATAGGACTTGACAGTCCTTGTCCTTGAAGGTTTCTCCCATAAGTGGCATTTCCCTGGTACTTTGCCATCTTCCGTTTTTGTCATTCTCCCAAGGGAAGCATTAGATCCACAAACAACAACATGGTGGTTCAGTCCATTCTCCTGGCGAGGAGGAGGAGGAGGAGGAAGAGGAGGAGGAGGAAGGGGAAGGGGAGGGAGGGAGTGAGGGGGAAAGCACACAGCCTCCTTTCCGTGCCCCCTCCGCCGCGTTGCTGGCCCTCCTCCGCCGGCTGTCTGCGACGCAAAGCCCTCCACCGTCCCCGGGCAGGCGGCGGCGGCGGCGGAGGAGGAGGAGGAGGAGAAGGGAGAAGATTGCGGCTCTCCTCTTCCTTCCTTGCTTGCTTGCTTGCCTTCCTCCCTGCCTTCCTCCCTTCTCTGCTCTCTGTTCCTTCCCGCAAGATGCCCTCGCGGAGAGCCCGGCGCCTCCCCCCCACCTGCTCGGCCGGGATGGTACAGTCTGCAGAGGGACTCTGGTTGTAATGTAGCTCCTCGCCTGAGCCCGCCCGCCCGCCCGCCCGCCCTGACAGATGCCCAGCACTGATTCCAACGCCTGCCCTTGCACTCACTGGGGGACATTTGGGGGATGCTCCCTGAGCCAAGTAAGTAGAGGCACAGCCCATCCCCAGGCATGCTGGCTGGGGAGCTCCATGTCTTTACAGTCTCTCTCCCTTTCCCTTCCCCCAACCCCTTCTGAGTTGATTTATTTTGTCTATTTTGAGATTGTTTGGTACTTTGGGAGGGAGGGAGGGGTGGACGGTGTGGGGTTCGTTTGGGAAAGCAGAAGGATGCACGAGCTTTTCCTTCAACTTTGGCATCATATTTTGTGTTAGGAGGAAGAAGCGATGCTGCTTCTTCTTCCTCCTCATACAAAACTGCTGCAGCCAGAAAAGCAAACCAATGGTACACACATAGATATGGACCCCATTTGCAGCGTTGTACCTGTTTTGCAGTGCCCACCCCCCCCCCTTTTAAAAGGAAGAGAATGCACGAGATATTCTATTTATTGCCGTATTGTCAGATTAGGGTTAGCTTGGCTTTTTTTTCAGAGGAGAAGTGTGACAATCTGCAAACATGCATCGAGAGTTTATCAGTCCTAACTTTCAAAAAACCACCAATATTGCAGCAGTGTGTCTGTAACAGGAGGGTATTTACTTTGTAGTTTCCAACTCAGGGCAAGCCTGACCTACAAAATGATCGCATCCCTGCAAGTGAGAATGTGCAGCTGGGTTAGGAAGGTGCTCTGAGCATTTTTTTTTTGGTAGGGGAGGCATGATGCATCTCAAATAAAACTGTTCCCTAAGATGCCTGAAACGCTTCCGAAGAATTTCCCCAAATGGCATGCATGCAGAGAGCGCATGATGAATCTGTGCCTGTTTCATGCACAGTGTCTTGCTCTGACAAACATCATAACAGTGCAGGAATTCCCTCCCCTTTTTGTACAGAGAGATCAGAGGCATCTGATCTCTGGTTTAAGAAGTGACCCATCATCCATCTGGTTTGTACCAGGCAGCACTCAAGCCTTTTCCCTACGCTTTGATTTACTGACTTTTGGTCGTCCTGAGCAAACTTGACTGGTTGCATTTACAACTCACATCCCTATTTATTACTTAATAAGATTATTAACTGAGGTGGGACTGTTGAGCACATTGTCAATTCCGGTAGATAAGTAGTGAAGTTTTTGACATGAAAAGAAAAGAAACTAGAAACATCCTATGTACTGTCAAAGGCTTTTCCTAGTTTCCAACAGACCTCACAGCCTCTGAGGATGCTTGCCATTGATGCAGGAGAAACATCAGGAGATAATGCTTCTAGAACATGGCCATATAGCCTGAAAAACCTACAACAACTGCAGAAACATCCTGCTTTGCAAGAAAACTGGGAATTCCCTCCAGTAGAGTAGGTGTTGGCATGAATTTAAAAGACTTTAGTGCAGTAAGGTCTTCAATTAATTTGACCTTTCAATTACACATCCACACTTATGACATTAAAAGCTAAAGTCAGCATTATAGTGAATTAGGATGTTAAATGGGATGCTTATATATACAGATCTCATGCCTTTCCTTCTGGATGCAAATTTATTTGTGAATAAGTGGAAAAAGATAGGGATGGTGCATGATGTAAGAATTGACCCCTCCTGTTTATTGCAAGCTGAGAATGTATAGATCTGCTGTAGAATATGTACAGATTGTTCTGTGGCAGGAGGTTTCTAGGAGTAGTTTTTCCATTTGGAACAAGGTCATCCATATGTGTGATTGTTCACTCTCCTACCTATTCTACAAATAACTGCAAGACTTGGGTCCCCAGCAGGCTTTTGGTTGTGTTTCATTGCTCACTTTGTTCACCTTGCCTTTCTTTCATTTTGGGTCTGAATGGCTACCTGAAAAAAACAGGTTGCCTATTTGCCTGGAGGTGCTGGGAAAAAGGAACGGAGGGTTGCAAATAGCACAAGAAGCGAAGGGTTCAAGGGAGGTGATACATAGTCATGCAGCATCATTCTATTTTCTTTGTGCCTGTATCCCTGTGGAGAATTGATTTTGACCCAGCACATCACAGTTAAATATACTTACATTTCCACAGAAGAGACCCTCACCCCTCCCAAAGGAAAATGGTTGGCGTCTTCTGTCACTTATGTACATAAAAAGGCTCCATGTGTGTTTATTGATGCAGTATTTGAGGGGTTTTTATTAGCTCTCCATGAGAATGTTCACACATGATATGAAGTCACAGGCTATGCTTTTTCAAATGCTTGCAGGAAAATGATTTTACATGCGTTTTTTCCCCTCATAAGTTTTAACGTGCTTCTAGAAAAAAATATTAAGCAATTTCCCTATCACCCTGACCTCATTTGCAGCTTTCTGTAATACAAACCTGGAAATCATATATGCTAAAAGGCCGAGCAAGCTAAATTGTGTTAGATCTATTTTACCCACTCTCCCTCCCCACCTCTCTTTAGTCACGACCACTTATTATGCTGTGTTCTTTACCAAAAGCTGATCAAGCATTTTCTTCGTCTCCATCAGATTTGTCCTTATGTTCAGAATTCCAAGCGTCTCCTTTGTCTTCATACTAGTCCTATAATTATTTTGCAGTCTGATGGGATGTTATTAAGGAGACATGACCTTGCAAGTGCATTCCAACCTTGATCTAAGGCTCATTACATTGCAGTAAAACCCCAGGACCTGATATTTATGCATGTAGTTAAATTGGACAGTCATATAGCTTACTAAATCTGAATCCATCTGCCCATACCTAGCAGTGCTGAGATGATGTGGCAAGCGATTAACCCTACAGAAGTCCCTTGCAGTGAAAGTTGCATAATCTCTGCTTTTATCTTTAACTGGCAAGGAATACCTTCTTAGGCAACAGACTTATGGGCTTCTCAAATTCCCATTTTATGAACAGGGAAATATGTTAATTGCCAGAGCATGTTTGCCAAGCCCTTGAAAAGGAAAGCCTGGCTGAAAATGCCTAGGTTCACTTTAAATAAATAAATAAATAAATCTTTGTTTGGGGGGGTGGGGGATCTGAAGCAAAAACTTCAGAAAACTAAGGGCGCGGGAGTAAGTTTAACTGCGTTCAATATAACCACTTCTTGACTATCTTTGTTAAGGGTTTAAGTTGCAATATTCTAAGTCTATTTATATTTATGTAAAAGGATATTCCCATAGAATGGAAGGGACTTCACTTTGAAGAGAAAATGCACAACTTCAGTGTTATTTGTGAATTTAGACTTCCGTTGCAAAGTTTCTTGCAGCATCTTTGGCAATTGTATTATTATTATTTCTTTTTTAGACCCCAAGATAGCAATACTTTGCAACTTGGTCCTGCACATATTTTATCTGGGATATGGCTGAGTCTAATAGAACATTATTTTGTGTATGCATGATTTTGTGTGTGCATGGTAAGGATTGTCACCTGTCTTTAGATGTTGTGTAGCTGCAAGTTATGCAAATATTTAAATATTTTAAAGGTGGGCACATCAGTATCCTTGTGTGCAGATAGCATACTGGTGCTGCATAGTGTGCTGCAAGCTGTATAGTGCTCCTTCAGGTGTAGCATAGTGTCTAAGGATGCGATAGAAAAAAGTCCCCAATTTCAGACTCAGTTCTGCTTTGAGTTCACTAGGTGGCCTTAGCAAGCCACCAGTCTCTCAGCCTCACCTCCTTATCTGCAGTTTGGAAATGATGAATGTACCATCCCTACAGGACTGTTGTAAAGTATATTGAGATTATATATGCAAAATGCTTTGAATGTCTCAAACCTTCATGTAAATGCCAGGTGTTTTATAAACATTGGTTCAGGTTTGTTTGGGATGTCTCATAAGGTACCATATAGAAGAAATGCTAGTTGTACTGCAGAAGTGGGGGATCCATGGTTCTTCAAATGCAACTGAACTACAGTTGTCTCATAGTTTAATGTACCAATTTAATTTAAAACTTAATTCAAATCAAATCAAAACATTTATTTCGGTCATTGACCAGCACAGGAAATAGTGTCACAGTGTCACTACAGTTGTCATCATTCCTGATGTTTGGACTTGTTGGCTGGCCTGAGGAGAAGTGTGGCTGAGCTGCATCTGCTGAGCTCTCGGTTCTCCTCACCAACCTAAAATGCGCAATATATTGCAAAAATATTTGATTTGGTGCAAAATGAAGTATTTTTAGCACTAAATTCAAGACTATAACACACTGTACATATTTGAAGGATTGGTGAATTGTATTCTAAGGATATATGATCAAGCATATTTCTTGGATACTTTGCATGAGAAAGTATACTATAGCATTACATTTTTCTGTATACTGCATAGATAGGGAAATGTTCTGCGGTTGTAGTGGTTGTACTGGGCTAAACATTTTAAGACATGTGCAAAACATGGGTTCTGCAGTCACAATGAGTAATTTTTAAAAAAATACAAACATGGAATGAATAAGAGGCTACTCATTACGTTCATAAGTGCACATTTGAAGCAACATATCGGGAAAATAGGCATCGGATGTGGCAGAAAGGCAGAATTAGTATCACAAAGGTCATAGTCATCATAAATTTTATTCTTGGCCAGTTCAGGCCTCAGAATTGCAGTCCCCACTTAGACCTGTTTAAAGGAAGTGCATTACATTTGCATAGATCACATTATGCTATGATGTCTAATTTATGAGATTTCTTCATCAGATCAAGAAACCATTATGGGAAGGAGACAGGTGAAGTGGGAAGGTTACGCCTGAGGAGGCAAAATGTATATACATGCTTCATATCTGTATAGTTTTGCTTTCAGACATCTGAGACCATTTTTCATTAGATTTAATTACATTTTACATTTTAAAATATTTTTTAAAAATATATTTTTATAAGAAGCTAGTAGTTTAAAAGTCCAAATTGAAATAGGTACAGTAAGCACTGACTGGGCTTCTTTCGAGTAACCTTGTGCAAGATTCTACTGAATGCAGTTAGTGAAGTATATGTTTCTGGGGCATTTCTTCTTTAACCGAAAATGTGGTACTGGAGATAGAACTAACGTGGAAAAAAACGGGAAAAGTTCCTGAGCCACAAAAAAAAGAAGAGCGGTTCAACATATTGAATTTAGACTGTTTGATGGCTTCCT